TTTGTATTTGTTTCTACCACTCAAAAGTAATAACCTGCTTGTTGTTAGCCTCAAACAGTAAGAAAATAGTATATCCACACAACTCTAAAAGGGGACACGTAGCTTCTGTGGCCCAAGTATGAATACTGGGACACCTGTGGGCAAATGAATTAATTGCAGAAGCTATCCATCTCCATCCCCTCTCCATAAAAAAACAAACACTCCTCCACTGCCAGCAAATGCTGCTCCTGTGGTAACCTCACACAATACCTGTCTGGGCTGCTGTGTCCCTGATGAACCTTGTATTCCTCACTGGAAGGTTGCAGTTAAAAGTACACTGCAGTCTTTTCCCCAAGAGGTATGAAACAAATTTAACACACCTAAACCTTTTCAGATTTTAGAATTCATACTGCATACATTTATATAGCATTCAGTTTGCCTCCCACAAAAATCCCTGCCTCACCAAGACCACACAGGGGCAGAATGAAGTTTGGGGTGATATCTCTAAGCCTACCATTTCCTAGCCTAACTGGTGACCTAAATAAAACTTTCAGTATTAGGTTTTTCCAAGATGTAATTTATACTGTGGCTGTCAGGAGTTAAGATAGCAGTTGCCATGGAGCTTTAATCTTTTTTTAGGCTTTAGTCAAAGGAAGCTGGAAATCTGTATGCTGGGTAGAACCCTGCTCAACAGAATTTTATTTAAATTGGGATGAGATTTTATCCTAATTTCTCTGCTGAAAGTTGTTCTCAAAGGTTCTAGAATTCTTTTTCTTTTATTCTGTTTCTCAGCAGATGTAAGTTTCTTTTAAGGCTGCTTAAATCACACTACATTCAAACACAAAAGTACCAAAGTTGCTTCCCCCTCCATTCTCCAACTACAAAATGTAACTTTCCACTAGTCTTAATGTGCACAGCTAATCAATGCAGTGAAATTCCTTCACCAGTTTTACCATTTTCAGTGGAGGAACTCTGTAAGCATGCAGAAGCAAAACTCTGGGGAGGATTTTATTCTCTATGTGCCCACCAAATGCTAATCGCTACACTAGAAAACAGGCCTTCGGAACAGGAGAAGTAATTACAGTTTGAAACTGTGTGTATGCTACTTAAAACTTCCTTGATGTATATTTAAGAAAATAAGAAGAATGAAATGCAAGAAGTGCATCTTTGAGAAGTACAAAATTTGCTATGCTGCAGTCAGTAATGTTCTGCTAGAACAGTTGCAGCAGAACAGACATGCAGTCCAGTCTAATACTTGCAGTTAAAACATTGACTTACTCAAAGCTGGACCTGCCCTACCAGGTAAACCAAAAGAACACTGAAATAGGTGGGAAAAACACAGAATTTGTCAAAAATAAGCTTTCAGAACTCTCACCCTCCTCCAGCCAAAAAGAAAGGATTCAGATGCAATATGAGTTTGATTGTAAGAAGAGACTTGGATTCAAAGGCAAACGACAGCTTCATTTAATGAAAAATTTGCCAGAATTTTTTCACTAAATAGAACTGTTTACATAGGATATGCAAGTCAGTGGGACTTGGGGAGTTGCACAGTAACATCTGGTTTTACCCACTGACAGTATCTTGTTTAATGAGCATGGGCCAGGAAAACCGTTCTTTCGGGTTTGAGTGACAGCCCTGCTCACCACCTTCAGAGCATCAGATGCAAAATCAACTGTCCATTCCACTGAAAAAGAGACTTATTTGGAGAAGTATGGGCTGGCAGCCAGGAAGAACCTGAAGAAAACTAGACTGACTATTAAAGAAACAAGGAGCATCCTGGATCTCTTAAAAGCTTAGAGATGTAGATTGTTCACTATGCCCAAGAAAAGGGACAGCATGAAATCAGATGAACTGTAGTACTTTCCTTCAAGCTGAAGTTAGAGGCTTTTAAATTAAGACAAATTCTTCAAAGTTAGGGAATGCCATCTTCAACTCCAGAAAGAACATCCAAAATGAAAAATCCCTAGATAAATTCAGGGAGTAATGGGACATTTCACTTACCAGCCTCTGTTACCAGTTTCAAGACTTCTCAGTACCACATTTTTCTGCATGAATAGATTAGTTAACACTTGACAGAAAAACACAGTTAAAACTAGTATAAATAAAGAGGAATTATTATTGTGCTTTTTAGCAATCAACAGGTATAAAATGCAACAGCATGCAGAAAACTGTGCCTAAAGAATCTGTACCAATCATGGCTGGTCAGGATTCAGGCAGCTTAAAGCAACTGGAGGAAACCTGTGTTAGTTAAATCTTGTGTACTATTCCTGACCTGCTAGAATTCCAAAGAAAAAAAAAAAAAAAAAAGCAGTAACTGTTGGAGATAACAAGATGGCCTTATAATAGTCAGCAAATATTAAATTGCTTGTTTTGCATTCAAACCAGTAAGCTTTCTAGTAGTTTTTTTGTTTTGCTTTAAAGTTTGTTTTGATGAAATGATTTTGTCTCAAGACAAACTGGTCCATGGGACAATTATAAGAAATATTCTTTCTCTAATACTATTATTTTTAAATAGTTACGGGGACCTTTTGCTTTCTTCAAAACAGAAAAGCAAAAAGCAAGAACTTGGAAGTGCACCAGATTTTCAGAAGCTCCAGGAATACAAAACAGAACCTATGCTGAATTAGGATATAGCATTAATTTTCATGACAGTCAATACATATCTTGAAGATGGACTGGTTTAACTGTTTAATTTTCACTTCACTAGTGAGGCTCACCCCTTTAAGAAAAAGAACTCACTATTAAGAAGCAATGTAAGAATACTCTACTTACCTTTTTGATTTCATACTCGCATCTTATGTGTGTCTTCTGCAATTACCATTGATCTTCTACAAGCACAGATACAAAACCACAGAATCTGAGTTTGGTTGAAAAGGGTGGTGAGATGCTAAATGCTTGATAACATCACATCTTTTCTTACGTACATTTTAGCAATTAAGAGTATTAAAGGGAGGTAATTTTTAGATGCACCCATGTACATTTGAGGCACACTGCTAATCTGCTTATGAACCAAATTATTTATGTATTTGAGCAATTTAATGTATTAGCTGAACAAGAGCTGTTTCCCCAGCAATATCTTCACTGGAAACCTTGAGAATTCATACTCCCTACTAGAAGGACCATTAGCATAACAGAAAGCATCCCTGCGTTAGAGATGTTTATCTGGACCACTTTCAGAATCTAATTGGTAACACTGCAACATACAGTTCCCGCTTCAGCAGTTATTCTAGGTGAGCCATTATATAAGGCTAACAGCTTTCTTGTCTGCCTTGGGGGAAAAAAGTATTCTTGATTTAGCCAGTAAAAATTCAGTGCTTCTCAAGGTGAGTTAGTAACATTAATAGTTACACTTTCACTTGTACTTTTGTTCTGCAACTTCAGTGTTTACTTAAGGGATATTTTTTAATACTAGGGAGTATTGCCATTTTGGGTAGACATTAGATGATACAGTCCCCAGCTCAAGCCTTCCAACCAGTCTTCTCAAGAAGAAAATTTAGGAATCATTAAGCTGTAACAAATAGATAAAGGAGTAAGACATGCAGAGGAGGAGTTGCAACACTTCTCTGCAACCGCTGGCCTCATCATTCTCCATCAGTAGCCATGACCCAGCCCCCTGAAGAAGCCTATCTGTGCAACCTTAGATTAGCCACTAGGCCTAGAAAGCAAGACAGGAGAGCCTTGGGATAAGGTCTACCTTCTTTCCTCTCCCACTGATGGTCAGAGCCCCTACACTAATTTCCTGTTTGCTGTTTGAGAAAGAGCTGTTTGTTGACTGTGCTCAGTGGAGCTAGTCCACTTAATAAACCTGCAATTTTAGAGGAAAGATTCAAAACACTAGCTTTTACGCTCCCCTGCCATATGTTAACTAGTATTACTTACAAATGCTAAATCCTGTTAAGCAATCAGATCCTAACTGTGGAAACAGGCTTGGTATTTTACATAGCTTATAATATTTAGAGTCCTGCACATTGATTCATACCATTTGGCCCAACAGCACAGAGACTCTCTTTATGCCAAGCACAGCACATCCAGCCCTCCAGCCCCGGCTGTCATGGCCCTCTAGTGGAGATGCAGGAGGGAGTTTTGATGGCATCCATCCATCGTGGCTTGCTTTTGCTCATCTGCCTTCTGGGCCACTCTCAACTCAATGCAACTGGCATTTCATTCAGGCTTGACCAGAGATGGTGTCACTTCTCCCTCCGTGATGTCAAGGGAGACCTTAGCAGCAAAGAGCAGAGACCTACGGTGATTTCAGAGCTCTTGCACCCTATCTAGAGATAACCCCCACACCTGGCCCTGCAGAGTTGCTCTTGCCAAGCCTGCCAGGGCACAGGCAGTCTCAAGGAAGAACACCATTGAGCAAGAACTCTAGGTGCAAGCTTTGGTACACACCACTTGCTTCCCTATTAACATCTCCTATTGCAAAGGAGCAGGAACAGCTGTTTTCATCTTTTTTCCATCTCCTTTGATGTGTGGGGGTTAAGAAGTTCAGTTTTAACTACCACCCCAGGAGTGTTTAGACACTACCTGCATACTTCAGGACAACACTTACAGAGCCTGTCACAAACCTGCTGGGATTTGTCTACTGGCTCTGTGCCAGTCATGCTTATGTTTTATATTTTTATTTTTTATGTTTTTTATTACCTATCAAAACTTTTACTGAAAGCTTTTGCCTTCAGGCTTTTTAGATAGTTGCTCAAGTCCAAGAACTGGGATGCTGTGCCTAAATCCAGGTGTGGCCACACACACAAATGCCACTAAAGGAAAAGCAAATTTTATGTCCCAGAGAATACCAGTCATGTTTCAGCTTTCTATAAATTGATTATGATGAATGATTTGCAATTTCTGCTCCCTGACATGTCAACATGCCCTCCTCTATAGGGATCCTTCTACCACTTCAAGGCTTCTATAGGCAGTGGTAAAACAAAGATGCTCAACAGAACCCAAGCAAAACCCACTGAGAATATCCAAAACTGCATATACACCATATATGATATCCAAAAATTGACTCCCAAGTATAAAGTCACAAAGACATGAGTTTAATAATGAGAAAAAAAAAAAAGCTTAAGTTAGTGGTATTTTCTTCCTTGAAGTAACATACTGAAAGTCACTGAAGAGGTCTGCTTTTAGCTCGGAAGACTTTTACAGTTACAGCTGAACTCAAAAATCCTAATTCCAAATGTGTGATGTTAACACAAAAACTGAAAACTTAAGACCTGGGAAAAAGAACCAATTCAGTTGTTAAGACTCAAGCAGTTATGTGAGGCCTTTCAATGCCTTTCCCGTAACATGAAAAGTTCTTCAGTATCTTTCCCACCACCATTTCAAGATTCACAAGGTTCCTTAAAATACTAACGGGTTAAATTGAAACCAAGCGCCATATGCTTGTAATGTCTTCTGTGAAGGTCTGAAGCCACCCTGTTTCAATTATTTGGTTATTCATTGCAGAAAGTTAAAGATCACAGAAGGTATAACAGCTTTTAATACTCCATTAATATTATAGATTAAAAATTATTGCATAGTCTTATGCATTTCCTAAAACAGTGTTCTCTGGAAATTTAACATTTTAATATAAAAGGAGCAACTCTTTAAAACATGAATTGCTTTCACTACCTCGATCTTCTATCCTTTTTTGATTTGTCAGTACATTTGTCCATTGTTTTCTCATTGTCTCCTCTGCACTTGGGGCAATACCACTTCCCCTTTGGTTTGTAGGTGAGTCCAACACACGAAAAGTGGAACCACTCAATAGGACACTGTTCATTATCACATCCTATCATTTCGCCATAAGACACTTGGTTGCATAAGCAGTAAGTTGGTTCATTTGGATCGATTGCAAATTCTGCAGGTGAAACCTCTCTCTCTTGTTTGGCTTTGGAGCGTTTTTTCTTCTTGGAAGATTTGGATCTTTTTTCTTTAGGTGGCTGATCATCGCAGTCATCGATACCATTTGCTGCATGGCACAAATCGCGGCTTTCGCTGGTTCGCTGGCGACGAGGCCTACGTGAAGATCTCTCTGGCTGGCAGGACTCCATCTTTGCCTTTTCTAGAGGCTTTTCGCTCTCAGACAGATCTTGAAAACACTGAGAGTGTGTTTCCATTTGCCGGGCTCTGTTCTCTACCAGTTCTAGCATCTGAGTGACTATCTGAATTTTCTCATCTCCAAGTTCTTGGCTGTTGATTAATGCACGCTGAAGGTGCTGCTGCAAGCGTTTCTTCTGAACAGGATCATTCTCTGACTTATATTTTTCAAAGACATCATCTATTTCTTTTAATGCTTCTATAAAACAAAAGATGATAGGAATAATTATACAGGATGGAACATACTCAAAATATATAGGCATGTATTTCTAACTGATGAGAAGCAGTACAAATTTTAATTACAGTATACTCCAGTGGGCTAAATGAAATATTTTATTCAAGTTGCATGTGGTCATCAAATCAGTGTTTAAGATCACAATCTGTTGGAAGAAAAAACGTCTCGCGTTCCAAGAAAAAAAGCAGGATTTTAGACACTGGAAAAAGAAAGGATGACCCAAGAAAAGGGACCATAGCAGCTGGAGTGTGGATAGTCCAGATCTTGCCTCCATCTGCAAAATCAGGAATGTCTGTAATTTGTTTAGAGTCCTTATCACAGTAGTTCCAGAACTCTAGCCTACAACCCAAAGCAATAGTTTATTGTATCACATGAATAAACTTAGAATTCACATAATCATTATATATCATGATATGTAACACTCCAGAACAAGCATATCCAGTAAGAACCCTTCCCCTTCTTATTAATCAAAAGGTTTGGTATTATACTTTCCAAGCAGACAGAGTTATAAAAGGAGTATGACAACTGAAGTTATACAATAGCAAATTTATAATCAACATGTAAATCAACTTAAACTACTCAAAATGTTTTTCCTATTACCAAGACAAATTACAGCAAGGTGCATTTTAAATAGAGGGTGATTTTTTTTCAGAATAGGTGACTGTTCAGTGCACCACAGGATATTTTTAAGCAACTAGTAATGAGTGGGCCACAGTTTGACTTCTCAACTTTTCTTCCTGCAAGTAACGCAAAATAACTGGATGAGTTGCTGTGAATCTTTAATACAATTTAGTACTTAGAAGCAAGTTTAATGAACCCAAATATGAGACTAACATTTGCCTTATAAGCCTGTCTTATTCTGTATTGTTCTATATTGCTAGATTTTAAAACAGTATTTTCCAGACAAAAAGCTACACTACATCTATACATAAAAGACAAGAAAATTGCTGATGTGGAAGGAAACAGATTAGTAGAACTGACAGTGAAACCTGATGCACAGTGTACTGGTTTCTTCAGAAACAACTTAAGGATTTTATTTGAACAGGCAAGAGAATTTATGGATGATACTAAACTGTTTACTTCTAAAGAGGGAAGATCTGCAGTACAATCTATCTTCTTAAAGACCTGTGTTTCACAAACTGGCTTTCATTTTTAAAGAATTTGTCTGCATTGTGCAGTTGTGAAATGATTCAAGCTTGCGCTAAATGGAAGCCATAGATATTATCTCAACATCATTCACGGTGATTTTTTTTTCCTACTGACATCTTAAAACAGTAGCTTAAGCGTGAACAGTCGCTTTTTACTATAAATTCTGAAACTTGTATGACAAGAGAAGCCAAAAGCATGTTCTTCAGTTCCACACTTTCACTAGGGGAAGATAAAAATCACTACTCTGCCTGTCCCATAACTCACATAACCTATTTTTTCTCAATACTAACATTCCAGCTACCATTAAAAACACAAGCTGTTTCCCTGCATCTTCAGCTATGCTGGTCTTGCCTTTTGCCCTGGCAGGCAGCAGGAAATCTTACCCTCTGCTCCTGAAGAGAGTGGAGTAAGGTGCTTTGTAGGCTGTGGAAGCAGAAAAGCATAACCAGAGTACAATATTTTGCAGCCACATTGTCTCCATATCAGCCTTTTTTTTTTATAAGGTGGGGGGCGGAAATATCATAGGTCTAGTTACACAGATATCCCATCTGGGGAATGCCCTGCCCTGAGGAACCCACAAGCAGTAACTGTTTGCCTTTTCACACTGTGACAGAGACCAGCATTTACCCTACATTGATTATTCCCTGGATGCAGCCCAAGAAGATATGCTGCACACTTTAAATGGACACTGTCCATTAAAAAGAAGAAAGAACCTTTGAGTTCAAGTTTACAGAACTCCTACAAGTTTACTCAACTCCCTGTTGGTCCCTATGATTAAAGAAGGCATCACCCAACTAAATAGCTCTGAAACCCCTTTGAAAAAAAAAAAGAAAAAAAAGCCAACCACCAAACACAACACAAACCAGGCCCAAGTGTTCATTACAGATAATCTGATTAAGTTTGGTGGAGCTAATAAAAGCTAAAAGGATTTCAGTTTTCTAAGGCCAAGGGTGGCTCTGTCCCTCCTGCATCAACTACCACTAACTTTCCTATTAGCTGAAGTTACACAGCACTGCTTTTACATCTTCGGACTTGGGCCTAAAGTATTTTTATCCAATTTTTAGGGTTTGGGGGTGGGTTTTTTGTTGTTGTTTTTTAAAAAAATTGAAGGCTTTGATAAAAGTAGCAACGAACTTGTCTTGTCTCGGCACCGTATCAGTGACTGGAGGAATACACGGGGCAGATACAGCCCCAAGAAAAGACTGAATCTATCCAAGACCAACGTGGAGCGTTGTCACCACAGATCAGCTAAAAAGTGTGGCAGGCAGTCCAGCCTTGACTAAGAATTCAAAACGCTGCAGAACAGCCTGTGCCCTTTAAACTTTAGAAGCACAGAAAACTTACAGAAGCCTGCTGTTACCTATCTCCCCGGGTAGTTAGATAACCGCAAGAGTCCGCTTACAACAGCCGTCCTCTGAGGTGGCCCCTTTCACGTCTAGAAGGCCGGAACGGTCCGCTCCTACCCACGGTGCGGGAAACCTTTCCTGCCGGGATCCGGCTCCGGCTCCGCGGGACCGAACCCGCCGCTCCCGCCCCGCGCTGCTCGTCCCGCAGCCGCTTCCCAGCGCACG